TTCGGATAAGTTGCTAACTCGAGAACCTGAAAAGTTAGAAGATTGGAATTTTAAGGGGATTTCCTCCATTCACGTAGGTCCTAATGAGTTCAAAGCTAGCCTCCGGGCATGTGTAATCCTTATGTACGAGCCCGTGAAAGTTTTTCGCGAGCAAGTTTCTAACTCAGGAACCAGGAAAGCTAAAAAGCTGAAATTTTAAAGGGATGCTTCCTGACCCTGGCATCCAGTCTTAATTCTTTTAAGCTATGGTCATCTGCCGAAAAAAACAGTGCCGTTAGCGACAAAAATCTGCGACGAGCTATGCAAAAAACGCATCTTCCCACCGGCTTGTCGGTGCGCTATTTATTTAAGTTTAGTTTCAGGTGTCCACAGACATAACGCAGGCCTACCTGCGAACTGATTTCAAATTTGGAGGGGAAAATCGCTGTAAGACTATGACTTCCAGCTTCACTGGTTGCTAAATTTTAAGTGAGTGGACAAAATAACACAAACACACACACAAAAAACACCTTTTCGACAATATGCATTTTTATGCGTTTTTTGCTGCAACAGTTGCATAAAACGCATACTGTCATGACCTTGTCTGTGTGTATGTATATAGTTTACCGAGTGCATTTTCTCCAGGGTTTTCAACTCGGAAGTTGAAAAGCTGAAATTTTAAGAGAAAGTCCTCTGCCTGAGTGCGACCTCGCAAATTCAGCTCTTACGTATGCCCAATTCTCACTTACCGACATTTGAAGATAGATGTTGGCGGGAAATTTGCTAATTCGGGAACCGCAAAAGTCAGGAAACTGAAATTTTAGGGGATGTTCAATGCCTATATGTGACCCGAAGACTCAAAAATGAGTTTTCAACTACGACTATGTCTAAAATAGAGGTACGCAAAATTTCGGCGGGAAAATTACCGATTCAGGAATTGGAGGAAGGAGGTATTTAGGATAGATACTACGCGTTCATGTGCGACATCGAAAGTTTTTGATTCAGCTTCCACAAACGCCCAAGTTTCACGTGCTGCGACAGTCCGGCGGGAAATTTTCCAACTTCAGAACCAAACGGGACAGAAAGCTGAAATTTCAGGAGTGATATTCCCTGACCACGTTTAATACCGGAAAATTTAGGTTCAGTTTCCAATTAAGCCTAGGTCTCAGATACGGACCAGGTAAGTTCTGGCGGACTAGAACATCCCGGCAATTCCCGCACATATCAAACAATAAAGCAGTGTACATTTTTAACAGCAGGCGCTCGCTGAACGGGACTGAACAAAACGAATAATCGCACCAGCTGTCCTGGTGTGCGCTCCTATTTACTGAATTTTATCAGTGATGGAAACAAAGGGGCAAACTTACCTTACAAAACGGCGCATAATTTTTTATTTCGTTGCCCCCAATTAGCTTAATTGATTTACATCCATTCTTTTGAGCTCGCTCGAACAAAGTCTGCAAACAACGATAGCGCAAGTGCATGATATTTTCAACGGTGAAAAATTCCTGCACCAAAAATTTCCTGTTGCCAAAAAAGTTGGTTAACGGGCAAAACGAAGCAAGCTTCCACAAAACAACTGCATCGTTCAAGATGAATTGTTAAAGAAGGAGGGCAGAAACTCTTGTTTTCCCTGACTTTAAATCCATTAAAAAAAAAGGCAGCAACAACATAGCAAACCTCCAAACGTGGTACTTCTGCTTCCTCCACAGCAACAATCAGCTTCCCGACTTTTTTGTATGGCACATTATGTTTGTCGCAATATTCATATGCCAGATCAATACCTGACCGTTAAAAAACAAAAGTTCCTTGAGTGCATTAGAAAGCCAGCGCAGCTTTGTTACATACAAATATAGGGAGGCACCAAAAATGCAAGCCCATTGGAAAGCTTACCACGAACACAAAGTTTCGCCTTGAGGCTGCCAGGTGCATAGTAAATTCCAGCGTGAAGAACACCGCTGTTATTGCCACTCTGATGAGGTGCTTAAACACATTGCTTATGAATCAAAAAAAACAAAAGAAACACAGTAATTACGCTGCTATATGCAAGATCTAGAACCGATTCGAAAATTCTTTCATTTTTGCTGGTCAAAACAATAATACCAGTGAGTGTTTTTTACCAGTTTTTTTTTTTTTAAACAATCGAAAAGTTTGCTGCACGCAATAGCACATTTTTACCCATATTTGAGCCCGATAACAGTGTGCTGCTTCGGTGAAAATTTCTGCGAATTCGCAGCTGTTTCAGTGTGCAATATTTGGTTTGTGCATAACCAGGGCGATGCTGAGCAGTGAATGAATGCATCAATTTGCGCCAAGAATTCGAGACTGTATAGTATGCGCCAACGGATTAAAAAATAACCTAACACCTGACAAATGCATCGGACGAGGAATTTTAAAGTGACATTACCAGAGATGCTTTCCTTGCTTTTCGTGATAAGAAAGATGCTAGACAACAACGAACTGTGATGC